CCACTAGACTAATTTTACAAAAAAGAAAGATACTAAAAGTGGAATAAGTTCAGTTATGTTACTTTAAAATCTAGCCTAGCATGAGCAACTCCCCCACACCCAAGGACCTGGGTTTGATTCTCAGCATTGTAAAACAAACAAACAAAAAAACCTAATCACCTTTCTTTCCCAAAAGGCAATGTTATATTTACTTTGTATTTCTAATACAAATTAAAAACCCTTACATCACATTTCCAACTTTCACTCTTAGTCTTCTTGATGGAAATAAATTCTTGTGCATTTTCAGGATGAAATCTACCAAAGAAAAATAAAAATTATTAGGAAAAGATGATACTAGTTAAGTCAATATAACATATAAATCCACTAACTGTAATTACAAGAATCAGGCACTGATTTTTTTCTTAAAGTGATAGGCATCTCTGGTAAGAATATAGATTATCATCATGATTTTTAACAAAGTTATTCTTAAACCTCAGTTTATGCAGAAATAAAAAAAAATTTAGCCATATTTTAAAAATATTCAGGAACCCTAGCAATTTATAAATAACCTGCAAAGTAACTGATTATACTTTTTTACTCCACATTTCAGTAAATTTATTTTTAGAGCTAATATGCAATATACTATTAAATATTTTCTTACTATCTTTCACACATTAAATATGTAAAGCAAATTCTTATAATTCTAAAACCACATATTTCTGAAGACATTCTTATCCAACCCCAAAACAGAAAACAACATAATCAAATGCTCTACCTTAAAACCTGTTACAGACTATATTCCTGTTTCAACATCAAAAAAAAATTATCTCAATACCATAAACAAAAAACATGATGAATTAATATTTGCTCTTCTTAATCTGTAGTCTGCAAAATATTAAGCAATGAAAGAATTAGAGATAAGCATTTTCATAGATATTTTTAGTTGACTATTTTTAGTTTACTACATGCTTACATTAGAAAGCACCCTATTGTATATAATAGAAGCAAGATAATACTTGCCTCTTAACATGCTTGGCTAAAGTCTTCTTGCTTGCATGAAGTTTATTACAATAAGGGCACTTGTGCTCCTTCTTATGAAATTCTGTTTCATTACTGTGCTTCTTTCTGTGAACAGTTAGGTTAGACTTTGTCGAATAACGCTGGTGACAAATATCACACTCAAAGGGCTTCTCACCTGTGTGTACACGGGTGTGGCTTTCGTATTTCCCTACCAAAAGAGAGAAATTAAAATAAAATTGAGCACATTTGCTACATTGTGAATGAAATCTGACAGTGGAATAAAGCGTCATGATTTAGGAAAATTAAATATACACCCAAATCCTCAATTTCAGAAATTTAAATAATTCTCAGCCATTTTGCTAAAACATACCCTCCCGTTTATACATGCATATTAATAATCAACATCTACCACTTCTCCTACTGTGTTCAAGAAAGCCAGAAAAAATTTAACCTTTTTGTATCCAGGTTAATAATACTTCATGGGGCTGTGAGAAGTAAATGAATTAATACACAGATAAAACTTAAAGCATTCTAGTATAAAGTAAGCACTATAACAATCTATTTTTATTATTATCATATGAATTATATGGATTGCTAGTCACAGTATGGACAAGTAGGTATACCTCAAATATAAATCTGTAATTATGATTATGTGTTATAAATAATTATAACAGATTTGAGTATGTGCTATAATAATAGATCAAACTAGGGTTTCATCTGACAGCACTGAAAGGACTTTGCTTTTTCCACTTGCCACTACTAACACTATCTAGTAACTCGGTTTTCTCTCTGCCATTTCTAGGGCATACCCTCCCATCTACACATGCATATAAATATCTTATCTCCACTACTTCCCCTACTGTATTTAAGGGATCAGATCTAATGCTGGACGAGGACAGGAGTCACTATATGGAATTTTTAAAAAGTTTTATTTGACTATGAAAGTTTTCACATATCATTTTTTTAAACTGATGGGTTTTTTTGTTTTGTTTTTGTGGTGCTGGGGATTAAACCTAGAGCCTTGTGTATGCAAGACAAGCATTCTACCAAACTGAGCTATATCTCCAGCCCTTAAACTGACTTTTAAGATTATGTAAATACCAACTTGTGGGAAAGTATGTAAAACAAATCAAGAATATACACCTGATATTTAAATGATTAATGATGTGTTTTGGGGGAACATTTTTTAAATGGGGATTAAATGTGCATGTCTAGTACAGATTCTTAAAAAACAGAAAGATAATTTATCAACTTCCTAATGCTTAAATCTCATCTGTATTAGCAAGTGAACAGGAACAGTAACTTCATAAGAAAAACTGCACCAATCTTTATTTTCTATGAAAATACAGATGCTATATTAGATTAGTAGCATTTTCCTTATATTTAAAGAAGTTTTTTCTTGTTTTCAAATAAAAAATTAAACCTAATGTAGCTAAATATTAAAACTTTCAAAATGGCAAATTAAAAATAAAAGCTATTTTGACTATAAAGCTTCCATTTTCCTACAGACCAGGAGACTTAAGATTTAAGCAAGAAAAAGAAAATAGAAATTAAACTGAAATAGCCAAAACAGACAAATCTAATGATCTTTTGAAAATATTTTAAATAAATTCAGCAAAGACAAGAGATTAATGAAAATACAGAAACTTAAATAATTCATCATGACATTAAAAATCTCAATAGTGAAAACACTATGCTTAAGTTATTAATTCAAAGTTTATGCACATAATCACTGCAGGACCTATTCCAGCTTAATGAATTCGAATTTCTGAATAAGAGAGAAAACCCTGAGAAAATGATGGATTCAGAGGAGGTTTATCTAAGTTTATCTTTAGAGGCTAATGGGGGAAAAAGTTAAGTCTCCAAATAAATTTCATGTTTAAAGCAATTGGTAGGGGTGTATGTATTTCTGTGTGGGGGTATTCAACAATAATGTATAAAATCTAAATGTTCACTCAAATTTATTGAAGTTTCAACTTAAAAAAGTGTCACTTCAAGGAACAAATCTGTCCTGGTGTTCAGAATTTATTGCATAATGTGGGTTATGCAAAATTATCACTGTCAGAATCTGCATGCAGTTTTTGCAAAGAGACGCATCACCAAATTAGTTCATTATACACACACACACACACACACACATATATATATACACACACACATACATACACATATGTAAGACATATAATATAAAATATTGTTAAACATTAAATTGTACCTTGAATCTATTCACGTACCATATCCTAAAAACTATGTAATTAAAATACTTGGCATTAGAGAATTAAGCCATTGTTATAACCCTTCTTTAAGAACTAAGTGTAATCTTTGTCAGGATGGACTATAAAGTCACGTTCAATTAAAAAAGGGGGGAGGGTGTTAAAAAACATTTATTTTTATATTCTAGAAGATATTGTGAGTTTAATCCAAGGAAAATTTTGAGTTCTGTCTAGGAAAGATAAATTATCCAGATTTTCTCTTGCACCCCATATGTCATCTTGCTATTTTTGCTTTTTTACCCACTAGGATTTTAGTATAAGGGAAGAGGTCAAAGGACTCTTATTTGCATGAAAATCCCCTGAGAAAAGGACAGCTGGTAGCCTAAGGAATGATATAACAGGATCAGCAGTCTTACTCCAAGCAACTATTAAATATATCAGAAAAGATAAGAGATCCAAAGAAATGAAATCAATTTATAAAATTATATACTGTGGAGCTAATGGTTCCAGCAGGTTTCAGAGCTTTTCATCTCTCATAAACCCACTCCAAGTTAGAAGCTGATAAGAAAGCTTAACTGGCTTCTTACAAGTTCAATGTAAAGCCAGGCATCAGCCTCTCAACCTAGTTCAAGAAAGCAAGTGCTTACTGAAAACTCATAATTTAAAATGACCGGATATATTATAAAGGATACTAGCCAAGAATAAAATGCATAAGCTTCAGATTCACAATTGAATGAAATGCTTAAAATAACAACAAACATTTGTAAATTCCATGAAAGGAATAAGTGTGATATGAAAAGGATGACTGGAAGGTAGCCCTTGAACTATTTTGGGGATGCTGTGGTAACACACTTAGGATACATCTTCTACATATTCTTTTTATTCTACCCATCACCAATCTACTTTGTCTACATTCAGCAAATCACTCTGCTCTACCCTCATCCACTTTTCATTCCCAAGGCCCTCATCTAGTCCAAGCACTGATGCTTCTAGTCCTCTGCTAAATGCTCCCTTTTTTTTCGTTACTGGGATTGAATTGAGGGGCGCTTGACCACTGAGCTACATTTTCAGCCCTACTTTGTATTTTAATTAGAGACAGAGTCTCATTGAGCTGCTTTTGCTGAGGCTGGCTTTCAACTCATGATTCTCCTGCCTCAGCCTCCTGAGCTGCTGGGCTTACAGGCGTGTGCCAGAGCTTGGCAACATGCTCCTTCTTGTCTCCCAAACTTTCTCATTCAGTCTTTTCTTTTCCAAACTGCAGTCAGCATCTTTCTAAAACTACTAAAGGTTGTCATTTTCTTCATCAAGTTTTTTTCATCAGATAAAATCTAAACTCGTCTGCCATTCAAATACAAGCCATTCAAAATTTGACCTCCACTTAACTTGCCAGTCCTCATCTCCTATCATTTCTATTAGGCTTCCCTGCCCATCTTGAAACCAGACAAACTTTAGCAATTTCCAGAATCAACATCCCTTAATGCCTTTACACATTGATCCTTCTGCCTTCAAAATTTCTCCCTATTTCTTAAGTCTTAGCTCAAATATCATCGCTTTTGGAAACCACTCCTGATTCCCTGAGTCTTCTGTATTTATCCTCATAAAATTATCTTTTAATAATTATTTTCATATGATCGTCTTTTTGCATGTACACATCACGTTCTAAGATTCTTAAGGACAGGGAATATATCATTTCCTATTGGTTTATCTGTGTTTGGTAGTTTAGAGGCTCAGTAAGTATGTAATAGCAGCCAGAATTCCTTGAATACATAAATTTTGTACAATAGTTTAAGTGATTTCCTAGAAATATCTCATTTAATCCCCATTATAACCCCAATAAGAAGGTACTATGAGCATCATATTAGCATTGTCTCACTTTATGAGAATAAAGCATAGACAGGTTAAGTAAATCACCCAAGACTTGAATTCAAAAAAACCCAGGCAGTCAGACATTACCATAGCTTATGTTTATAGAATTTTGCAGAATTAATGCAGATTATTATATAGTTTCCCAGTTGTATTGCAATCCAGAATCCCTCTCTAAGAAAGTATCTCACAGGCCTAGTGTGTTGGATGGGACAATTTAAGATCTATGTGCTGGATCTATAATGCATGTTTTAACTGACCCTTGCTCACTCATCTCCAAGTGAAATTAGGTCAATTAAAGTAGATACAGGAAGCATGTGCTAAGGGTACAAAGGTCAAAGATGCAGAATCCATTAGAAAGATGAAATGTTCTCAGGTACATAAATCCCCAAAAGCTGTTCTTTCCTAAATACATATGTTCTTTTAACTTTGTTAATTCTCAACAGCAAATATCTAGCCTGACTTTAACAAGTGTCTTGTAATGAGCTCTTCCGATTAAAAAGTTATTTTATTCATGTTGGCATACAGCTTCACAATAAAAAATTAATAAATAATTGCCAAATTGGATTATCAAAAGTATTCTGATTCAGAGATAATGTATTCAAAAAGCATTATAAAAAGCAAAAAGTTACTACTTTAATGCCTACTGTATGCTGTAGCTATATTTTGACAGCAAATGATTAATACCTTATAAAATCAATTTCCACCTATATCAATAACATAATAATTCAAAAGTATAATACACCTGGGAACATATTAAACAAACTTAAGATTAAATTCATTATGTTCTTATCATTATGTGTGGTAGAATATATTTCACAATTTCATAACTTCAATTTACACGTAAATAGCTTAACTACTTCAATTAAAGAGTATGCATTAAATAGTTTATATGACTTCTTCAAAATTGCTTTACTAGCAAATATCTGACATCTCAAAATTAAATATGCACTGACACAAAACCTCAGGTTATGGACCACATTTCCTACATACTCTTTTAAAAGGGAAAAATTTGATTTATTCATTTTTATAATAATTAGTATTAATAACTAGGGTACTTCCTAAATTATCTATCCAAAGTTATTCAATTACAGTATAATTTTATTCTTCACTATAGTCTAATTTAAAACATTCTAATTCTAAAAAACACTAGAAAGGCGACTATATTTATAATTTATCATCATGTACAAAGGGAAAACAGTAAACAAATTACTAAATATAATCCAATTATATTTTCTGTAATGACTCAAGTTAGCACTCATCTTCAAAACTGGAATATAAATCAAAGCTGTTCATGATAATCATTGATTCTCTGGAGTCTTTCATATTAAATACATGAACTAATAATCTATTACCTATTAGGACATGACAAAGAAAAAATAAAGGGTAATATAAATACTTAACATGATTCCTGAATTACAACAAATTTAAAATAATAGGATAAAGTACACAGTGAAAAGAAAATTATCTTCCCTACTTAAGCACTCTTTATTTTCAAACTTCAGTTTCCAATTATTATCTTTAAATATCCATGTAAAGTAAGTGATAAGAAACAAAAGTTTTCTTACCTATTCGGTCAAATGTTTTATCACATTTAGGACACTGCAATATTTTTTTGTTACTGTTCTGAATGACTACTGGAGTTAACCCCTCGTGAATGCTTCCTACAGAATCACCAGCCTCAGGTTCCTCTTCTGCTTCATTATCTTTTTCACTTTGTTCTTCAATGTCAGAGTATTCATCTGACATTTCCTCCTCTAGTTCATCTTCTTCAGCATTATATTCACTTCCAGGATCCTCAGAATCATTTTTATCTGACTTTTCCTTATCAAAACTTTCTTGATTCAAATTGTCTGACCCATCACCACTTTCTTGTTCATCATCACTGGTATCATCAAACTTAACAGGGCACTTCCGATTCCTTTTTGATCTTCTTGCAGAAAAACTTCTCTCCAGCATTTTTAACCCATGTTTTTTCCCTAACAAAAGGGACCTATGAGTTTTAGCCAAATGATTTTCTAAAGACTTTTTGTAACAAAAATGTCTACTGCAGAATTTGCACTGATGATTATTTGATAATCTTCCAGTTAATTCATTTAGTGTTTCTTCTGGTGATGACTTTTCAGTTAGCTCTGATTGAAAAGCGGCAACATTTTCATTATTTAGCAGCTTTACTGCATCTATAATGTCCAAAAATTTTGCAGCCTCTAAAACAAGAGGTATTTCATATTTGTACACAAAAAATTCTGATGTGTAAAGAAATTCAAGCAAATGCTGAAAAACTGAATGTGTTACGTGATCCAGAGTGACAACATCAGTGCTTGGATTTTTGCTCAAACAGGCATGAAAATAACTACTGCCAACAGCAACAACTACTTTATGTGCACTAAATTCTTTTCCTTCTACTATGATAAGTAAATCACAGAAAGATGGTTGTTTCTGTCTATCATCATTTAAATACTTTAGCAAATTCTTATTATACTGCAAAGAACTCAAAAGCTTTCTCTGATCTGGAGAGGGAGGAAGTTCCTGATAACAGTGCAGAGCTTCAGTTGTAGGTCTCTCTGTAGAGTGAGTACAGGTCACTTGGTCACATTCCACTGCAACATTTCCTTCCGAAGAATCTTTATAGCCAAGATGGATCTTCTCGTCAAGATTTGAAGTAACCTTTCTCCTTTTCTTCATTGCAGTACAGCAATTTCAGAACAAGAAACTTCATAAGTGTCTTAAGAGATTCATAAAGGAAAACTAGATTGTCTTGGACAACAGCTTCTGGACAGGGGTGCCTGAGGGTTTCATGGTCTGCAAAAGTAAGAATCATGTAAAATAACTCCAGGCAAAGCAACCTTAAATCAGTCACAGGCATTTGTCCGCTCCTTCCTAAATTATAACTAAGTTACCATCAAGTCACACTCACATTCATTCGTGGCTAAGATTTTAGGGCGGAGAACAAGGAGGGCCAGGTTAGAAAAGACAGCCAACAAAAGAATAATTTTTAAAGGAAGCCAGAGCACACCTTCCAGGCCTGATTTACGAACAGGGTGGAAATAACTGGACAGAAGCGGGAGAGTTCTAAGATCCTTGACGATGGAGGTTGAAGGGGGCTGCAGTCATGTTTTGGGGGCGCTGAAATAGTGACAATAAGGCCGTCGCGGCCACGAAATCCGAGTCTTTCCATTAGCATGCTTTTTTATGCGGGGCAATGCACAGCTATTCACAGACCTAACGCGTCCCTCTCCCAAAACCACCCGCCAGGAGACGGCCCCAGAAGGGGCTCAGAGCAAGAAGAGTGGGGTCAAACACAGGGACGACTAAAATAAGCAAAAGAGCCTTTCAAGGCCGGGGCCAGGTGGAGAATGCGCTCGCCTACCAGAAACCCGTTACCCTTCCCACCCACTATCCCTAGGCAAACGCCCCACAGATTCATTACCGGGAACCCAGGGCTCCCCCGCTGGCTCTAGCCGCTGACTCCACTCTGGGCGCGCTCGCTCCAGCGCCTACCCACTTCCGGGTTCAGCCACCCACCTCACCCCCCTCCCCGCTGCTCCTTCCCCTCCCGGAGTCTCGCCGCCTCCAAACCACCGAACACGTCAACCGCGCGCGCAGCCTCCAAGCCGCCCAGAGCGACGGCGCGCGCCCCTGCGCGAACCAATGCGCACGCGCGCGCACCCTTCCTTACGCATGCTCGGTCGGTTCCTCTGCCGCTTTGGGAACACTGGTTACTCCCCTGATCCGTTACTCCGGGTTTTCTTGGTGTCTGGGTGGCCACCGGTGATTGAATCCTGCAAGCTTTGCTGCGGCAGGGGAATGGAAGACAGGAGGTTTGATAGGGACTTGGGAAGAAATTGGCAGAGGCGCAGTAGTACCGACGTATTTTATTCTCACTGGTGTGTTTAATAGTTTGTAACCAACCAAAGGGCGACCGCCGGAAACCGGTCCCAGCACTCATGCTGGCAAACGTCTAACAAACCGAGATTGACTTCGCTTGGTTTTTTTCTGATTTAAAGGGCAAGACTTAAATGCAGTTACTCCTAAGATTGCGGTTTTTAAAAAACTATTTTTTCCCCCTGTGCACAGAAAAAGGCACATGTAAGTGTACAGCTGGTTAGAAAAGAAAGGAAGACAAAAGGGGAAAATCCCCAAGGACAACTTTGCTCTGAGGGAGCACCTGAGATTTCTGCATTTTTAATAAAGCCCCAGGTGGGCTGGTATTGCTGGTCTGAGGGTCACTTTTTGATTAGTATAGTCCCAGACCTTGAGATTGTGCAGACGTAATGCAAGACAAAAGACCAAGACCAAATGAAATGGGGGTCCCAACTCTTAACCCCTATCCACCCATCAAATATAGAGCTGAAAAGGCTACCCTCTGTGGAAGAACAGGTGGAGGAGTCTCCTACATAGAGGATGTGAGGAAATGCCTAAGCTTTGGTCAAACACCCTTTAGGTGTTGTTCCGAAGTTATATTTTAGATGGTGGTTAACAGGCAATTCTGTACTCTGGAGTAGATGACCCTCTAGTAATACCAGTTGAAGCCTTCAAGAGCAAATTCAGGTTTGCCAAAGAAGCCATTTTCCCTAAGAATTCAACTTAGAAACCTTGCCTGGGTTTTCAGCCCAGGAGAATTCAGACTCAAGACTGATATCTCATCTGGGTGAACTTCCAGCCTGTGGGGCCTGTCCTATGATTTTAAATTTTCTCTCTCACACAATCATGTGTGAATCAGTTCCTTCAAATAAGTTATATCTCTTCATCCTCTTCTGTTTTCCTGGAAAACCCTAACTAATCCATCAGCAATGAAAAAAAAAGAAAAAAACAATGCCAGGATATCCACATCCTTCAGGTGCCAGAAGTTTTTGTCAAGAGTGTGGGGAGAGATCAGAGACCAGAGGCAGGAGGTCAAGAAAAAGGGAATCTTTGCATACTAAAATTTCTTTCAGTGTCTTCCTTTTGCTGATCTGTCATGGTCTTATTCTTTAATAAACTTATTCCGAAGTTTATTTCTGATAATGAAAATGTTTTCCTTCATTTATTCAATTGAAAATCCATAAAACAATGACCTTGTACCAGGAATGTGATATTTTCAATAAACTTCTTATAAACATGTTTTTAATATGAAATACCTGGAACAAATATGAAATACCTGGAAATGAATTTAATAAATTATATTTAACGTCCATACACAATTCTTTACAATTCTTTAATAGGAGTATTTTAGTTTTTCTCCCACTTTTTT